CTCAGCAGTGCCACAGGCTGATAGCTTCCATGCCATGCCGCATTGAGACAGTAATTGCTGCAAAAGGGGCCCAAACCAAGTACTGAGTAGGTATGCATGCTTATACTTTTCAGAGGTCCGATATTGTTCTATGTACAATCCTTGTTTTATTAATTGCATGTAATATTCTAATTTTCTGAGATTGTGGATTTAGGGTTTTCATGAGCTGTAAGCCATAATCATCACAATTATGACATATCACGGCTTGAACTATCTTGCTTTGCATGTAATGAATCTATCTATCTTAGTGATTCCCAAAGTGGGCGGTACTGCCCCCTGGGGGGGGATGCCTTAGGGGGGCGCTAAGAGGCAAGGGGACCGGCAGGGGGGTGCTAAGAGGTGGCAGGGGGCGTTCGAGGCCCCAGCCCTGCAGGTTCACTGGTTGACTGTAGCACCACTCCAGAGCCGGTGCCTCCAATGCAGAAGCGGCGGCACATTACGTGCTGCCGCGGCCGCATTCGACACACCGCCCCCCTGCCACCTCTTAGCGCCCCTCTGCTGGCCCCCTGGGGGATGCTAAGAGGCGGCAGGGGGGCTTTCAAGGCACCGGCCCTGCAGGTTCACCCATTGACAGTCGTACCACTCTGGAGCCAGCGCCTCCAATGCGGAAGCGGTGGCACATTATGTGCCGCCAAAGCCGTGTTCAACACGTCACCTCCTCTGCCACCTCTTAGTGTTCCCAAGGGGCCCCCGGTAGAGGGGTGCTAAGAGACGGCAGGGGGGTGTTTGAGGTGCCAGCCGGCCCTGCAGTTTCACCCATTAAGGCGCCAGCTCCAGAACAGTGCTACAGTCAATGGGTGAACCTGCAGGGCCGACACCTCAAACGCCCCCCTGCCACGTCTTAGCATCCCCAAGGGGGCCAGCAGAGGGGCACTAAGAGGTGGCAGAGGGGCGGTGGATTGAATACGGCCGCGACGGCACATAACGTGCTGCTTCCGCATTGGAGGTGCCGGCTCCAGAGCGGTGCTAGTCAATGGGTGAACCTGCAGGGCCAGCCAGCACCTCGAACACCCCCCCTGCTGCCTCTTAGCACCCCTCTGCCAGCCCCCCTGGGGATGCTAAGAGGCGGCAGGGGGGCGTTCGAGGCACTGGCCCTGCAGGCTCACCCCATTGACTATTGTACTGCACCGGAACCGGCACCTCGAATGCAGCAGCACGTTGGGAAAAGCTGCTGCCACCGCTTTCCCGAAGTGCTGCCGCTGTTGCATTTTATCTGTCCATCCATCCATCCATCCATCCAAAAGGTCTGTCTTCCTGCCTGCCTGCTTGCCTGCCTGCCTACCTACCTACCTATCCATACATTCATCCAAAAGGTCTGCCTGCCTGCCTGCCTACCACCACCCACCCACCCACCCATCTATCTACCAATATATCTGTCTGTCTGTCTGCCTGCCTCTCTCTGTCTATCTATCCAATCCATTCATCCATCCATCTGTCCGTTCATCCATGTTCGAAGCGCCAGCGCCACAGGCACATCGGGAAAGTAGAGCAAAGCCAGTCTGGGAGGGAGGGAGGGAGAGAGAAAGAGAGAGAGAGGGAGGGAGGGAGTCCTGATGCATCAGATTGAAATGAGGCCTAGTTTAGACTGAGGCCCTTTTCCACATTGAAACATCTTTGCCAGCACACTGAAACCTCTTTGGCTTCTATTAAAGGTTTTGTGGACAAAACATGGTCAAAACTATCAGGAAGCTCTCACTTTGTTGACTCTTTAAACAGGATCCATTGGACCAGATCTCCACCTTAAAAATTACTTTTCCCCAATGTATTACAGTGCCAATTCTGAAGAAGGCAAAACCAAAATGTACTGGTAAATTACAAGGAGAAAACACCCCCCTACAACACACATCCTTCTAACACTGCTGAAGCAGGTGATTGGACTAGAATAGATACCTCATTATCTTTCTCCTCCCTCCCTCCTTCATTTCTTTTTCTTTCTGTCCCTTCCTTCCATCCCTTCTTTGTCCCTTTTTCTCTTTCCCTTTTCTCTTTCTTTTCTTCCTCTCTTTCTTTTCTTCCTCTCCCTCTCTCAGGCTCACCCCTTTAGATCAGGGGTCGCCAAACTTTTGGACCTCAGGGACCAAAACTCATAATTTTAAATCCCGGAGACCACTAATATGAATTTTCACTGACGGTGGTTTTCTGGTGTTGGTGGGAGAGAGAGATCTGATCCAACCTCTCTCTTTCCCTCTCTCTCTCTCACACACAGGCAGGGGTGGGATTTAGACCCCTGATCTAAAGATGTCAAAAGTCCAAAAATAGGTAAAGTAGCTCTGGGGAGGCCAGTCACAAATTAGAACACTTGCTAAACAACCGGCCATTTAGTAAGGACCACTTGTATTTGGTTTGCCAGTCACCTGGCCAGGCCCACCCAGTCACATGACCAGCAAGCGACACCCTCAAATTAGGCCATGCACACGGAAATTTGAATCCCATCCCTGGGTGGGGGCACCGAGGATGAGTTTGTAGCACCAAGGGGGTGGTGGACTTAAAAAGTTTGGGAACCACTGGTCTATCTCATATATTAGTTTCACCTTTTAAGTTGCATTACTGAAATAAATGAACTTTTGCATGATATTCTAATTTTTCGAAGTTCACCTGTAGTCCATGTTTTGGCTGACATCCGCAGAAGTGTCCTTGGTGGGTACTTGGCTCTCATGGTTTGATGTCTGGAGCCACTGCGTTCCATCTCACCCCCTCCTTCCCCTGAGTTCTTTGGCAATTTGGCACCCTTGCCTTATCCTTGAGGCATAATAACTGCAGGATGTATTGACAGCTCCAGAGAGATGCTCCAGGGAAAATAATCACAAGTTGTTCACTTTAAGAGTTTACATTAGAGAAAGAGAACCTTTTGTGTTGAGGATCCCACAGCCTCTTCTTGGGATTAAAAGAAAGTTGATTTAGAATCAATATGGACTGTGAAAATATTGTCTGGGCTAGGAAGCATTTTTCTTGGCTAAAAATGGAAAACCAGAAAGTGGTCCAGAACTTAGTCACTTCTAAAATCTGCCTGTTGCTCAGCAAAAATGTTTTCACTTTTGATCCAAGTGGATTAACAGAATTCAATTATATACAGTAAGCTGATGCATCTATAGTTGTCAATGTATAGTTTATTTCCTTTGTTTATAAAATGGGGTGATAAGTGTTACACCACCAGTCTGTAGGAAAAATGCTGAACTGATAATAGGGGCAAGATAGCCGGATTGTTTTATTTATCCATACTAGGTACACACACTGAGTAATTTGCATTTTTTTCTTTTGCTGTGCAAGTTTTATACAACATTATGCTAGTGTTTGTGTTTTTAAATGTATTTCTCAGTCTGTGTACAAATATAAGATCTAGGGTAGTTTTTGTAAAACAGTTAGTCTCTAACTAACACATACACTTTTGAGTTGCCTTTGCCTCAAACCAGTTTTTCAGGTATTACCTGCTTCTAATAATATAGGTACAAGCCAAGGTCTGCAAAAGTGGAATTTTCACAAGCAGTAATAGGTAAGACCTACAATGTAAGTGGCATCAACTGAGTTAGATCACTTTCTTAAACAGGTAGACCTTGACTTACAACCATTCATTTAATAACCATTCATGTATTTAACAGCAGTTGCAGTATCACAAGGTCCTGATATTGTTGTCTGCAACCTTCTGAACTTCTGACAAGCGAAGTCAATGAGGGAAGGCCAGATTCTCTGAACGACCACATTATTCACATAACTGTAGTGATTCACTTAACAAACATGGCAAAAAGGTCATAAAATGGGGCAAGACTCACAACTGCCTTGTTTAGCAACAGAAATGCTGATTTAATTGCGGTTATAAGCAGGGGTGGGATGCTACCGGTTCTGCCCAGCTCTACAGAACCGGTAGCTCTGAAGAGCAGCAGACACCAAACAGGGTCTCTATTTGCTGATGTTTGGCCCACCCGCCCGCCTGGGCTCTTATCTGTCCTTTATTTCCTGCTTTTTTAACCTCAGCTGTTTTGCGTGGCAGAGTTGAGGTTGAAAAAGCAGGAAAAAAGAGGCTTTTCAAATGCTGTGCACCTGCGCACAGTGCTTATTAGCTGTCCTGGTGGCACAGCTTAAGGTTTTTTACGCATGCGCGTGCAAAACATAATCACCGAGCCAATAGTAACACCGGTTGAATCCCACTCCTGGTTGTAAAGTCAAGGCCTACCTGTCCTTCTTATTAAGAAAATGAAGTAAATAAAATATTCATATACTTTTGCAAAATTAAAAAAAACTGAACTTTTGCAGTAGGTTGTTCCAATATATTAAACATAACTTTACTTTCATTTAACCACAAAAAAGAGTAAAGAATTAGATTCCTATTTTGTAATGATGCTGCAAATTACATCTAAGCATTTATCAACAGTTAGTTGCTATTGCTCTAGTTATTATGAATCCCCAACTCATCCTGAAGAGATTTTATATATCCTAAAAATACTATTTTTAGAAAATAATGTATCTTGAAAGTATTTGCAATATGCAAGTAATCATCAACTTACAACCAGCCATTTAACAACCATTCAGTTACGACAGCCTTATAAAAGGTGCTTTATGGTCTGTAAAGCACTTGTGGCCTTCATTACATGGTACACTGTGCCTCCTTAATTGCATTACTAGTTATTATCCCATGGTCACATGACTGTGATTTGCAATGTTTTTTACTAGTTTCAGGCAAAACTTTCTCATTTGGGAGAATGAATTTGAAGTAATTCATTTAATGACCACTATGAAAAACAGTCTAAAAATCAGGCTTGGTAATATGATGCCTTGACTTATGATTGCAATGATTTATGACCAAAATTCTGATCATAATTGCAAGCCATAAGTCAAGGACTACCTATATTCATTGAACAATCCAATTATATTTTCCTTAATCAAAAGGAAGATTTCTCCTGATCCATAGAATACAGAGATTGTGAATATTATCTCCCATTAATTAAATGTTGACAGATAAACCAAGATTCTTCAAAACCATACTTTATTATTTTAAAGGCAACTAGAAGTACTTTCATAACTATTTCTTAAGCAAAATGAAGTCATATTTCCTTTAGTTTGACAAGATAATTATTATGTGGATTTTATTTTAAGAATATATTGAATTTCTGAACCAGTTGAGGTTTAATTAAAAACAGAAAACATACATCACTTGTGGATTCAGACAAAATTACAAAGCACAGAACTGGAAACATTCAAAAGCCCTAGAAAAAAAAACCAAAACCTAATTATAACAGGCCCTCCAACATTGAGCAGATAATTAAAAAGGTAGAGACCAAAACAAAATTTGTGTTAGCCATCAGTAAATATTTCGTAACAAGGATTTCAATAGTTTTTGTTCTTCCTTTTGCCCCATATGTATTCATATGACATGACGTTAGAGATAGATGATATATGTAACTTTCTAAAGTAGTGTCTAGGTCATTACCATTTATCACAATTATATTTTACGTATATTCTGAATTGAATAATGAATATTACATGGTAATGGGAACCATTTTGCTTCCCTCCCTCAAAACTAAGAAATTAGTCATATTCAATAGCAAAATCAGTACAAATAACTAAAGGGCTCCCAATCATTCAAGTAATCAGCTTACTGGTGTTGATAAAACATTTGCTCACTGTGATATAGATGAGTAGCATGTTAATCTGCTCAACACTGATTGTAGTGTTTCCAGTCTCAGTATCATTTGTATCAATATAGTTAAAGCCAAAGCATGCAACATTTAGGGTGCTTCTTTCCAGTGCAAGGATATGATCCAAGAAGAGTTGATTTCAACAGTTTAATAAGTAATTCTTATAAATTTAAGAATTGAAAATGAATTCTTCCAATTAAAATAAAAACAGTGAGCCTCATTTGTGTTAGAAATTAAACAGTCCAATTATCCCAAACCATCATAAACAGAACCATCATTCCTCCATTCCAAACTTTATCCCCAGCCACTTTATATTTTTGCATCTACTAAGAAATAACAATTATACAATTTAAAAACAAACCTGTGTTTTCAGTAAGAAAATTAAGGGCATGGTAGAAAGGTGGGGTGGTTTTATATGAACCTTGCATACAGTTATGAATATTCATTTTTGAAACAGAGGAAAATGGATTCTATCCAGAGCACCCTAGTTCTCATTTGAGAATTAGCAGTACAATGGCTTGTGTTATTGCGAGATATAATAAGCGATCAATACTTCCCCCATGTCTTACAATGAAAACAAATTTTATGGTTGACTTCCAAATTTGGATGAAAGTTTGCCAATGAGATTCATGACTTTAGGATTATTCTGGTATTTTGACATATTTGCTGGATTCTGGGCAACATCTTGGAAAGCTGCCATTACTTCTGGATCCTGTAAAGTAATGAAGTATTGAAATGTATCACTAGGATAATATGGTGAGTTTTAATGTACATGCTTTAATGTTTTATGCTTCAATCCATCATAAAATATAGTATAAAATAGAAAAATTACAGTAAAATTAATAAGTACTATGCACTTGTTAGATTATACTTGAATCATTTCATAAAGTATGACTTAAAAAGCAAAATTTAGGACAAGAAACTACGAGTAAAGTAAATACAACATGCTGTTCTGGACCAGCTATCAAAATTCAACAAAGACCTAACAAATGCACCCTGTGATTGACCTGGACACTGATGTAGTGTATGATCAGAGGGATTACCAAAGAAGCTACCACACCACATGAAATACTAAGAGGAGAGGAAGTGACTAAAACTAGGAATAACAAAAGCTAGGAAGGGATTTATCAAGGAGAAAGGATTGAAATTGAGAGTTTGTCAGTGGCTACTAAATATAAGGATGAAAGCACCAATAAAATAAACAGGCTATGGGAAGAACTGGCATGGAAAATTGTCAAACTAGCAAATATGTAAAACTAAAGATGTGCCAAGTATTTATTTTATGGCTAGGTACAGAAAAAGGAATAAAATATACCGTACCCCAATAAAAAAGAATAGTGAATACTGCTATACTATGAATCTGTCCCTCAGAAATATATGCAATTGATTATTCTAAATGGGTATTGTAAAGTTTTAAATTGGAGGCAACTATCACAGCCAAAATCTGTTCTACTTATGAATAATTCATTTGCATCCAAGGTTTGGAGTCATAGCTTTTTACTGAAGGTAGGTTATAGAGCATGCAATCTTGTGACATGTTTCTAATTAAGGTTCAGAGATAATGTTGGTATCTATTAAACCATATTGACATATATTTGCTGTTTACTCCAAATCAACTCCTATATCTTGCTATAGCCTTCTTAAAAGATACCTCAATTTCTTAAAAGATACCTCAATTATGGAATGCATTTTAAAGTGCAATAAAGTGGGAAATTATTGCTGCTTTGTATGCTGCTTTGTGCTGCATAAAATTTTAATAACTGAGCAAATATATGAGGTATTTAGAGCTGATTAATTATTCTAAACCACACTAAAATTGCTGGAAGTCACCCTGAGTCAATTGCAAAAGACAGCTTTGCTTGGAATAGCTTACATCCTGCAATGATACCCTTAACACCATCAAACAAGAACATCTGCCTATCTCAGGTCTTTGGGAAAGACTCAACACGTGGGTAAAAATGCCAAGTCACTCTAAACATCTGCTGACTGTGACAATAAAATTTGTAAGAAGGGCGCACCTTTTCTTTCCAGTTGACTTTTGTTTTTGAGATCCTACAAATGCTAACTTAGTAGAATGAATTAATGAAAAACAAAATGAAAATTTCTGGAAATAACAAATACAGTAGTGCAAGAATCTATAGTAATTGGGGCAGGAGTTCTTCAAAAGCAATCAGAATTCTTACGTTGCAGCATTTTTTTTTCTCAATTATTCCTCACCTGCATGGCTGCAAGAACTTCAGGGTCACTAAGAATTTCATTGAGACCAGGCATGCTTCCCATTCCAGGCATGCCTCCAGGAAAACCACCTAAATATAAGGAATATTGTTATAGAAAAAGTATTACACTGGACTATATCTTAGCTTATCATATAATCCATGAGTTAATTATACCTGTTTTATGTAAATTTCCAGAGCACTCAAAGAGCTGTTGAATAACTTAAAATTTTATTTCTCTAACAGCAGCAAAATTTTGCTACATTATGTGTATTATTCACAAATAGTTGCTAATAGTACTTGTTAGAGACTGTGTTATTCATTTTATAGGTTGTATTTTTATTGGTCAATGACTGAAATAGTTATGTCTATTTTACTGTTTTGTGTGCTGAAATCCATGTTACACTTTTTAATATCACACCCTTGGTTAATTGCTAATACGATAGTATCAGAATTTTTATATTCAAAAATCAGAAATACAGCACTTCCATATTTGTTTGATGAATCAAGAGTACAAAACATAGATTTTTTGCCCGAAATAAAGCAAAATATTATGATCCCGATTCACATGAAGCTCAATTTTTTTCTATAAATGCTTTGAAATACACACCTGGAAAACCACCAAACTGAGGTCCTCCTGTCTGCCGACGAGCCTCTTCCTCCTGCAAACATGAAAATATTTACTTAGTCTCCCATAAGAATATGCAAATCCACCATTTCAGAGATGGAACTTCCTATTTTTTCTTCAAACCTAGGTCAACCAAGCCATTCAGGAGTGGTTCTGGAGTTCACTGGAAGTAAATCTTTTTTCCATTTATCCACATTCAAACCACCATACGTTAAATGATAAACTATTTTACAGGTAGTCTTTGACTTACAATCAGTCATTTAATGAATAAAGTTACAACAGCCTCAGGAAAAGTAAAATATGGTGCCCCCTACCCACCCACCCCGCAACATTTCAGTGCTTGACAATTGGCTAAGATTTACAACCAGTTGCCAAATCCACTGGGGATCATGTGATCATCATTTCTAATCTTCTTTGTGAACTTCCCCAGAAAATCAATGAGGAAGCCAATAGGAGAGGTTTCAAGCAAAGAGGACAGAGGGGAGCTGAAATCTCTGTTCCTGTAGCCCACCCAAAAAATTTCTCTCCATGCATGGAGGGGAGCTGAAACCGTTGCACATTGGTTTTAATTGTGGCTTGTTTAATTTGTATGACCACCCAATTCATCAAGTATCCTGGGCAGTAAACAAAATTTTAAAAATTAAAATATTACAAGTGTTAAAATACATAGCAGCTAAGAATAAAGTACCCATCAGAACTAAATTAACCATAAAATAAGTTCCTGCACCCATTCAGGGATCCAAGCTTAGGACCAATGGCTTACATATTATACCACCTCGATGCCTATTAAAACATATAACATAGTTTATACCTATAGTTGAGTTTCCTCATTATGTTAATTTACAACTAAACAAACAACCTTGTGATATTGTGTGAAGTGGAAATCTGACTACTGTTGGGCAAGAAGCCATTTTTATGATGTTTGGGGAAACAAAGACTTTTAAAATATGAAATTAAGTTTTCCTAATACAGGTAATCCCCGGGTTACAAGCATTTCCTTAGAGAACAAAGTTACGCAATAAGCACCCCCTAGTGTTTGTGAACAAGGCCCCAAACTATGAATCTTGCAGGAACACGGCAGTTGTTCGCCCTTACGAACACCCCAAAGGGTCTGCAACATTTGTTCTGCATGTTGCTGGCTGAAATGGGAGCTTAGGATGGATGGATTCATCCTTCAGAAGCCCCGTTTGGGCATTTGGAGGCCTCACCCAGCATGTTGCCAGGCGAAATGGAGCTTCTGAGAGGCAGATCTGTCCCTCAAAAGCCCTGTTAAGGCATCCAGAGGCCTTGCCCCGTTTGGGCATTTGGAGGCCTCACCCAGCATGTTGCCAGGCGAAATGGAGCTTCTGAGAGGCAGATCTGTCCCTCAAAAGCCCTGTTAAGGCATCCAGAGGCCTTGCCCTGCCCTTTGCAGGCCGAAATGGAGCCTGCAACGGGCTGGGAGAGGCCCAAGGAGGGCCAAATGGAGCATCGGAGGGCCAGATCCATCCCCTGGAGGTTCCATTTTGGCCTGCAATGGGATGGGGGAAGCCCACGGAGGGCTGAATTCAACACCTGGAGGCCCTATTTCAGCCCCTAACAGGCCAGGGGTAGGTCTACAGAGGGCCAAACAAAATGTTGGATTCACCCCTTAGAAGCTCCATTTCAGCCAGCAACCTGCTGGGCGAGGCCTGCAGGGGCCTGAATGGAACTGCAGAGGGACACACGCAGCTGAAAGGCTGGAGAGGAGACTGCTTGCTAGATCTTCACAAGTGACCCAAAGCAGAAAGTTGGCCAGGGAAACAATTGTGGGGAGCATGAAATTTTTGAAGAAAAACTTTAGTTGTCACGAACAAAACAGGAGCTGCTTATGGAAGAAGAACAGCTGGGTTACCACCGTTAAGAAATGAGGAGAACATGCAGTGCACAGGTCTCCTGAATTTCTGGAGGAATCTACAAGGATTTGGAAAAGTACAGTATATGCAAGCAAGCAGAGCATTATCGCTTCAGTAATCTGTTTCCCTACATATTCTTTAAAGACAAACCATCTAGCCGTGAAACTGCATTAGAAATTTTTATTTTTACCAGTCTGTATGGTACTAGTTAAATTTTATTGTTTCTTGTGTTTATTTAAGCAGAAAACTTTGCTCAGTCTTTTTTTATTCCCACTTCAGGCTGTATTCAGGAATTTTTCTCTAGATATAATCTAAAAACTTTTTCTGAGGTCACTAATTATAGAAGAGTAGCAGCATTCTGTGGTCTGCCTGGAACACCAAATATTTTAAATAAAAACTTTTTCTATTTTTTAAAAAATATAATTTGTTCTTGTTTAAATCTATTTCCCAAATGGAAGGAGTGGAGCTGACATTTCTAATCACACACCTCTATAAGACCAGAATAATATATTATACAATCTTTTTTCATTTTCGTCCCCTGAATTTTACCCCTTTAATTATCAGAAAAGACAGCACAGTCCTCTCATACATCAGAATTAAGGAGAAGATGCCAGGTGAGGGGTCTCTTGGAAGACAGGTGGTGGCTGTATAAATGACCAAGTTCCTAGATAGATGATATGTCGGGGTATGAACTCTTGTTTGACATCTCTAGTCTTTCCCTCTAAGCACTCAACTATGCCACCATGTTTGAAAAACAACTCTTACCCTTTGAGCTCTCTCATGTTCCTCTCGGGCTTTTTTTACTCTTTCCATTCTTTCTCTAATTTCTTTTTCTTCACGCTTTCGTTCATATTTTCTTCTGTGTTCTGAAATCTTTTGAGCCTGACGTACAAGATGAATAAAATTATTTGTCACATATATATATCATTTATACAATATAATTCTAGCATTCTACAATAACTATTTTTAGTTTGTATTATGTCAATTCTCTCTCAAGAACTACAGGGCTATAATCAACATTAATTCTTCCCTTCAACACTGTTATGACTCCAAAGTATCCCAAGAATAGTCTAAATTTGGCAATATACTACAGTCTTTTAGATGAAAATTAATTTCAGTAGAAAAAGTAAATACAGCTTAACTCTCCTTAAGGGTTAAATAAAAATAATTAATAAGAAGCAATCTGCAAGTTAATCTGCAGAATGGACACAGTAAAACTCTTCAAAAGCAAAAACTTCTGGTTTCTATTAACTCTTTCTTTTCTTTCATACACAATATATAGACAAGTAGCAAAGCATCAGAACTACCAATGTCTTGAGATCTAAGACAGTTAAAACAAAAATTCAATGAAGAGAAACTTTATTTAATTCAGAAATGGTACGTCTGTCTGAAGAAATTATCAGTACATAAGATTTTTTTCACAGTAGTTCATTTTGTAGACATTCCTCAGCAAATTTTGTTGCATTATCTATAAATACAAAGTAAAATCTTGCACAGCCTAGTTTTACTTGTGTCTCGGAAATAAATTTAGGTTCAGAGATATAAGGGAAAGAGGGTATATATCTCAAGCAATCTTAATGGCAACAGATTAGGAAGAACAGAAATGTCCTTGGTACTATTCTTTTCTTAATAGGAAAAGCAAGAAAGCAAAAACCATGAAGTCAGTAATGCTGCACTGGGATGTCTAACTTCCATAAGTTTTTCCCCCCTTTGGCTAATAAGAACCAGGTAAGATAAGGCTAAAGAAAAAGCTATATTCCATTCCGTAATAATTTTCAGTGATATAGGTAGAAACATAAATGGTTCAGGGCTACTTCGTCGACATACCCTAGAATAAATTGACACTGGAGAAAACATTGTTATACCACAAAACCAAATAAGGAGAGGGGCTGTGATTATCAATTCCATGTTACAGAAATAATTCAACTATATTTATTCTTATTGTATATAAAATAAAAATTACTGAACATTATTTCTATTCTATATTAAAATAGAGATCACTATTAGTCAAATGCTAAAGCTTTTAATGTTAGGCCAGAAATAGCAACACAATTGTTGTTAAAGCTAGTATGTAATCATCCAGTTTATGATGTAACTAAAAAGAGAACAGTAATTTTTTGAGTTATGTTATTCATAGTACTACTCCCTTGTGGCACATCAGCAAAACATTCAAGAAACATTTTATTCCAGTTGCAGTTTTCAGAACCAATTCATACTTTACTTATCTACAGCTTGTCCCCTGGTAATAGGGAGAAAAAAGATTTAATCTTCAAGTGTTAAATTTTGTTAAAGAGCCTTACAATAAGTTAGTGGCAAGCTTGCAAACTTAATTACTTTGTGGCAACAATTGTTAGAATTACAGAACCACAATATCCTTAAAAACTGGAGTTTAAAAAAAATCACAAATAAACAGGATAGTGTTTTAGCACAAGTTCCAGGGGTGGGATTATACCGGTTCTATAGAACCGGTTATGATTCTGCGCAGTTCAGAAAACCAGCAAATCATGCCCTTGGCTGGCCCTGGCCCTGGCCCTCCCTGCCCGCCCACTCAGTCCTTATCGCGCATGCCCGACATCACCGACTGCATTCTCCCCCTCCCAGTCATTCCTTAAGGTATTTCTTTTTTCCCTCCACCTGATGATCAGCTGTTCCTATGATCAGCTGTGCCGGGATTCCCCTCGCTGTCTGACTGCTTTGCCCAGGAGGCCCCAAAACGGACTGGGGGGTGGGGGGGGGCTGTGTGCCTGCCCCGGCTCCGCTTTTTTTTTTTTTTTAACCCAGGGAAGCCTTCTGGGAGCAAAATGTCCCTTCAGGAGGCTTCCCTAAGGCCCAGAAGGCCCAAAAGCCAGGGGAACGGGGTGCCAAAAAAAAGAAGCCACAACCACCCAGTCACATGACCACGCCCACCTAGCCATGTCCACAGAACCAGTTGTTAAAAAATTTGAATCCCATCCCTGACAAGTTCCATAAAATATCACAGAAGTGAAATCATGAGCTTCTGTCATCCACATTTTCATTCATTACTTACACGTGGCTGTACTTCCTTAAGCATGGCACTAGCTTCTTCATCATAATCCAGTTTACAGGCCAAAGCTAGATCGTGTGCAGAATCTTCCCAATGACCTAGAAGCCTGGCAAGAAAATTATTAATTCCAGTCAGCATCATTTGAGACAATGTTAAAAACAATTTTAAGCCATAGGTATAAATAAGCAAGCTTTTTAATAATATCCAAAAATCCTTTATTTTCAAGTTCTGCATTTTTAAAAATTGAAGAAAATTAAAAGTTACTCTGTTAACGTGCAGTGGAGATAAAACATCTTAAAAGCTTTCTATTTAACCTAGAAAGTTTTTATTTTCTATAATAAGATGATTAAGATATAAAGAAGATAGGAGGATTGCTTTGCTTTGTTTTTTTTACCTGTGAGCTTTTCCTCGCCATTTGTAGGTCTGTGCCGAATCGGGATTTATCTGAATGGCTCTATCACAATCCCTAATAGCAGCATTTGGCTTCTGCATTTTCACAAAAACACTGTCAACATGAAAAGTATACATCCTTAACTAAAAATTAATAGAATACCATATGCTTTGCAGCCTAATCCTTTTAGCAAGTGAGTTAAAATACTATTCAGCTCAATACATGTATTATTTTCCACAAAATTATAAGCACTTTTAATACATTGTACATTTACCTATTTAAATATATCTGAATTATCAAATGTTCTTATAGACTACCATTATATAATTCTTGTTTAATGTTCATTAAAATTTTCTGATTCCAATTAATGATAATCATTATGTTTAGTTTTAACTTAAGCTGTCACAAAGATATGCCATACCCAGTTCATTCCCATTTTTAGTAAGCCCTGAATGCTATTGTATCTCCGTAGAACAGTAACTATTACTTGCTGGTATACAGGCTCCCAAACTGCAGAAAATATATAGCCACTGTGATTAGAAACTATAACCAGTTATAGAGGAAAGAGGCAAGAAGCAAGGATAGCAAAACGTTCCTTAAGTCCTGACAAACAAGATAGTATTTGGAGAAGATTTGGGCTGACTCTTCCCTCATTCACCAGAATATAAGAAAGAGGGTAGATAAAGCACAATCAGTATTGTAAAGTTTTGTTATTATAGCCTAGCTACACTTCCAGTCTTCCCATGGAATTCAAGATATGCAAATGCACCAGTATTAAATAACAGAAAAAGTGGTAACCAAAGTAAAACACAAACTTGGATATGGCTATCAAGAGAAAAATGGAAGATTGGCAGAAAGTTTTCATATTGCTAAAAATGTTAAAAATAAGAACTATAAAAATAGCCTTGTTATTTCAGAATGTCAGTATAACAAGACATTTATTCAGTGATAAATTTTGAAAAGTCTATAAAATAATTCATAAACACAGTCCAGATTATGCTATCTTTATATTAGCTATCTTTTATAGTAGAAATATTCAAATATAAAGTCTCACCTGGCTCTTTTGGCATACAGGATAGCCAAATGAGGATTCAATTTTATGGCTTCTGTGAACAGGTCAATGGCTTTCGCAAGTTCACCTGAAAATATAAAATTTTAGTGGAAAAGAAATCCATTCTAAATTTGGTGGCCTAGAAATGTGGAAAGAAGAAAACTGATTGGACATGTTGTATAAAAATGACTTAGAAAAAAGAGACTCAAGTGGTGACCTTCCTTGGTGGCTTTGTCACTAACTTCTTGTAGGAAACTGGTAGAAGTCACAAATGGTAATTACATGTCTGCAAGATGCTGCAACTGTCATAAGTACCAGCCAGAACTTTAAGGATCAGTCTTAAGTATCATCATAACTGAACAGTTGCGAAATGAGGAGTTTTAACCCAAGCACATCTCTATGGGTTTATCTAGTAAAAAAGATAAAGTTGATGTAGCATATATAACTGACCTTCATTTAATGCATGTATAGCTTCCATTTTCTTTTCATTGGCCTGGTCCATCATTTCTTCTGTTACCTAAAGAAAACAACGGCAAAGAAACTGTAATTCAGATCAAAGCTATCATGCTTTCAGGAAACAGTATCTGGATTTAAAATCAGTTGGAGCATTAATATATTACATTTAACCAAGAGCTGATTAGTGCACAAGTGTGCACTTTTAGACTGCAAACCAACTGCACATGATTTTACAATTAAATATGTCATCTGAACATAGGAGAAAAGATATTGCTGCCCAAAACTGACCAGATAGTATTGCTTCAAATAAAATAAATGATGGTTATATTTTTTGGTTATTTCCAGTTAGACATATTCTTCATCCTGTCAATAGCAAACCTAGCTACTGTGTATATATATATGCTTAGATGACACAATTAGCCAAAAACCATTAAAAGGCTCATTGCTAGCTGAACCAATAACATAAAGGAATTAACAGTCGCACACTTAACTTCTTTTTTGATTAAGTGTGACACATAGATTCAGAGTTCCAAGCACTATTACCTCAACACTTTCATCTCCCATTGCCTGAGGTTCTTCATTGTCTGGTTCAATCACTCCTTCATTATCAATTTCTGCAAAGCCCCAAAAAATTACAAACATATATTACAAATTAGAAGAATTCAAGTTAGCTGAATTCAAAATAAAAAAATGAATTACATCAAAGAGACTTCAATACTGGTCACTAACCTAAATCACTTTCTTCACTTTCAGGCTCAGGTGGTTTTGGTGGTTCTTCTGCCTTTTCTTCTGCTTTTGGCTAAAAAAAAGTCATTAATGACATCCTTTTTTTTTTCTCATAGAATGTTATATCAATTTAAAAATAACATAATCAGGGAGTAAATTTGATAACTATTGACGCAGTGACCTTCCTTGTGGGAGATTTTAAAATAACTTTAGGTGAGCTCATCCAAACTGTGATATAAAGTTATAAAGTATCTGCTTGGGGCAGGACAATGAAAAAAACTCTAAAATTCAATTAATTTAAAAACTGTGTGGATTCGGAAACATAAACACAGAATGAGAGGGAGCATTGAAAAGTAGCTCTGACCAATAATAAATTTAAATTAGTTAATGGAAGAACCTCTCTTAGAATCTCCTTTTGCCAGTGGCCGAGAGTGAAATAATTCAATTAGTAAATAAATCTAAAGAATGGCGGGTATTATTACTTCCAATGATTTTTGCAGGAAAGGTGACTTTTCATAAAATATGGTTAATGGGGGGGGGGGGGTTAAAAAACAAACTAGGAAACAAAGTGTTGCTGTGGAATACCCTCTATCAGGAACAGAAGAATCTGCAATGCATTTACCTGGAAGGTTTTTCCACAATACTATTTTATACAGTGCTGTGTGACTATAGAAAGAATGGACAAAATATATAATGGCCAGCATTATTTGCCTATTTTTCCAATATGGGAAAGATAAAGGATCACGATATACAGTAAGATGCAGGATCACAAGAAGCAAAGAGTTTCATGAACTACAACACATCCTGAAGGTAAAAATGAGATTGCAGGAAAAAAAGGAAAATTCTTATAACGTTTTCTGCAAGGTAAAGTTATATCCAAGAAAAAATAAAATGGGAAATGTAGTTAATGCCATTCTAGAGGATATTGTATTAATTATTATAAATATCCCACATTGTAGAAAATTGCGAAGAAGTCTTTGTAAATATTGCAAACTGCTTCTGTCTCGTTAACAGTTTCCATAATGTTATCTTTTTATACTGATGGATGGGTGGGTGGATGGAGATATATACATATACCTGTTTGTATTTTATATTGATCTCATGGCTGTAATAAACTTTGATAGATTTAGACTTTCCATTATCTTTATAGAAAGGTTTCTTTATCTCATATTTAGAGTAATAGGAAATCTGAGTTGCAAGAGTTCAAGGTGAGACATGAGGAATGAAAATAAGGGGAGATTACCGATCGAACCTGTCGGAACATGTTGAAAAAAACCCCTTCCTTTGCAAAGATAATTAAAAAGGCAATATCCTCTTTCTGAAGTATTGTACATTGTAGCCAAGCTTCTGTCTTACCTCATCAGTTGTTTCTGTTGAAGTTTTGCAAGGAGCTGGTGGTATTGTACCTCCCATGCTTTATAATCAAAAGGAAAAACAACAATTAAAGACATCATCAAATATCAATATAAACGCTTTGGCTTAAGTTAAATAAAGCAATATATGGAATCCATAATATCTTGTAGCAAAGATCTGTTTATGAGTTCAAGAATTAGCAGGGCAGATTTTTTTTTATTTTGGATATATTATCGGGTCTAGTTAGTTTTCTAAACTATTTTTCAGGAATGCTTTAAACTTCAATATTAAATTGTTAGGACAGAGATCTTCCCACTTTAAGAAGAATGAATTATATTATCATTTTCAGCCTTCTGATCAAAGAAATATGAAAAAATATTTAGGGATGTTTAAGAGGATCCTATTCTAAACATAACTTTCATAATATAGGGATTATTATGAACACAGAAAGTTATTCTTTTTAAAAGTGTTCTGAACTATAAAGTACACAATAGAGGGAAAGACTATTAAAGAAAAATAAAATGCACATCAATCCCAAGTAATTTTCTAGAGTAAAAGGTGCTGATGCTCAAATACACATTTAATGTTTCTGTATTTATCCCCCAAACCTTCACTTTGCCCACCTGTTTGCCCCAACAATGCCCAGCAAAAATGGAGTGAAATTGTACCTGTGCCCTATTAAATTCATGACATGCCACATTGTATCCTCCAGAACAGGGGTGCCAGGGCCGGATGCGTCGTGTGCAGGCCATGCCCATCCCAAAGAGAAAAATTTTGTGATACATCACAGGACGGTAATGTGACGCCACTTGCTTGATACCCATGATCTAGAATCACTGTTTACATTGTAAGAATATTTCCTAAAATTAAAATATTTGCTCTATTGTATTATTTTCCTTTCCCTTTAAATGTATCGTGTCTTAAAAATAGTATTCAATGCAAATGTAACACATTTTTTTCAAGAAAATTTTAGGAAAATTACAAGTGCAAATATGTAGTAGAAATCTTTGATTTGCTCGTTTTTTTTAGCTCAACATTCATAAATGTATTCATGTTTATGGCTCATTTATATGCTAAATGAAGCACAGTTAAGACTGATCATTGGAAGCTGGAATCTACAAAGGGCTAATTGATAATCAACCAATTCAGAATTATCTCACAACCTGCCCCAAAATCTTAAATCATGGTTGTCCAACCTTTTGGCTTGCATTGAGTGAAACAGAATTGTCTTGGGCCGCATATAAAATATGTAATATGGTTAATTTATATAAACAAATATTTATTTCTATTATCTTGTAGGGTCCTACTAGCTGTCCAGGGTACAGGTTGGACCCACTGTCTTCAATGATCTAGATTTGTTTTCTACTATTCAGCACCTTCCTGAATGTTGCTCCAGTCATGATGGTAAAGATTAAACCGCTGAAACCCAACAAATCTAGAAGACCCTAGATAGGAAAGGCTGAACTAGCTTTATCACTTTAGCTATAGCCAGAAACATGATGGAAAGACTCATCTACAGCATGGCTCCTCAATGCCACTTTGAAATCAATGTTTTTGCAATGTCGTGGGGCCATTAAAGTCTGGGCTTGCTGTTCCATTCTTTTCGTAGAACCAACATTATCAATATTATGAGCTTTGGTGGTGCAGTACTGCAGGCTAGGTCTGCTGGATGCCTGCAATTTGGCAGTTCGAATCTCACCAGGCTCAAAGTTCTCAGCCTTTCATCCTTCCCAGGTCAATAAAATGAGGACCCAGATTGTTGGAGGCAATATGCTGACTCTGTAAACTGCTTAGAGAGAGCTGTAAAGCACTGTGAAGCGGTATAGAAGTCTAAGTGCTATTGCTATTACTTTACGAGGTTTCTTACTAGAATATGAAAATGTCCTTGTAATTGGCTGCATAAAGAAGAGTCTGACTGCTCTCACGCTAGATATGAGACAACTAAGAGATAAGAATTCTCCTGCTGCAGGCCGTAAATCCAACATTCTATGTTATACAGAAGTGAACAGGATGTATTTGCAAAGTTCATAAATCTAAAGTGAAGTGATGGCGTTCTTCTACGATTAACTTCCTGCAATTGGTATATAAGTCATGCAGCCTACGATACAGGAGATAGAACAACCAGCAGTATTAATGGCCAGGAATAGCATGATCCTTCATGAATTCATTCAGTGTTCTATTAAAACTATGCAAATTGTCATTACCATAAATACCAGCACTGAATTCTAGTCTTTCCTCACAGAGGAGCTATTCTAACCCCTTAATTACTGTCAAAGAACAAATTGGCATTTTGAAAAAGTGGCTATATAAAGTAAAATGGGTAGAACAGCAAGGGCTTTAAGCAGAGAATCTTAATAGCTGTGAGGAAGCTCATTTCCAAAGCACTGTAGATAGCCTTTGACTTACAACTATTTGTTTAATAACCAAAGTTAAAATGGCACTGAAAAGGTGGCTTATGACCCAACTCAACATTCCCATGGTCATCAATCAAAATTCCGCTGCTTGGCAACTGGCATGTATTTTACCATGGTTGTAGTCCTAAAGTCTCTGGGATTGCCATTTGCAACTTTTCTAGCAGATTTCTGACATGCAAAATGGAGGAAGACAGGTTCCCTTAACAACCACATAATTTGCTTCATGACCATGGCTTAAAAAGTTGTAATATTGGCCACAACTCAACTTCATTGCTTAGGGACAGAAGTTATGGGCTCAATTGTGATCAAAAGTTGAGGAAGAACTGTATAGAATTTGATCCCTAAATTCTTTCATAGGCTCAAGTCAAACTTTTACTGCATTATTATGGAATACATAATTTGAGAAAACTTTCTTTCCACATAGAAAAAATAGAGTTAAGCAACTTTAAAAGTCACTTTCACCACAGATAAAGGATTTAAGAATAGGAGAAAAAAACCCGAAGAAATGTACTTGTCACTTAAGATACGGGAGTTTGTTGTGTTGGAGCACTAACCGTGATAAATCACATTTATAGCTCCAGCCACTTACATGCAAGCAAGACCGATATAATTCTGCATACAGATATAATACAGAAGGGTTTTAAAATATCCTTTCCTTCACATAAAGTATTCTTTATCAGGCAAACAATTTCAGTTCTAAAATCTAGGCAAGTTAAATAACACGGAAGATCCTAGCAAATCTTAAGTCTTCCTAGATTTTTTGCGGGGTGTGGTATGAGTTGAGTAACCGAATAGAGAGGCCAGGTTTCAATGATACGACTAGGCCTTGCCACTAAAAGCTCAGTACTCCATTCCCCCAAATCGTCTCTGATTTGCTTCAGAGGCAAATTAAAGGAGTCAGACAGCGTCAGATCAATAAAATCCTTCAAATGTACAAGTATTTAACAAGACTTTAAGACTTTCTTTAACTCTCTGTAATCCAGCAGCCCTTGTTTCTCAAGTTCTACAACCGATCCCACGAAAGACAAAATTCACGCCGCCCCTTAAAAGATGAAAACAATTTAGCCCCCAAAACTCACCATCTCAGGACCGTCTCCAACAACTTTAACTTACGGGGGGGGGGGGGGGGGGGGGAGGCAGGAAGAGAGGAGGGAACCGAAGGGGCAGCAGTCACAAGAAGCGGGAATAAGTTCCCGTAGCCCCTACCTGCTTTCTGCTCGGGCTCCCTCGGAAGAGCGGCTCCATGCTTACCTCTCTATCCAGTCGCGGAAGAAGACCAGATCTTCGGAGTGCAAGATGGCAGAATTCTGCTTGCAGAGTTTCACGAAGGTCCGCAGCTCACTCAACTTCTGCGGGTCCATGGCCAGCCCTTTTGCCACGCCGCTGCTGCCTCGCCGCGCTTGCTGCTCCCACCGCTACAGCTTCTCTCTCCGGGAGGGAACAGCCGTAGCTCCCCCAACCCCCTCAAGCAGGCCTTGCCTTCACGCGCCGCACAGCGCAACGGCTCCCACACGCCCTCTGGCAACCTTCCAGGGACGGGGGGGGGGGTAAGCGACTCCCGCTCTTGCCTCTCTACTCTCTCCGCGCGGCCGAAGCTCCTCCCCTCCAACCCCGCCTTCTCACGAGCCGCCCCTATAGCCCCAGTTTTGGCAGCGGGGTCCAGAATCTTCTAGAAACGAAAGTGGAGTTGCCCTCGATCTTGCCTCTTGCCGTTGCCTTTGGACTCACGCTTTTCTCCTTCGATTCAGTCCAATGACAGGATGCCAGTTAAAGCCGTAGCATTGCATTCACTGGTTCTGGTGCTTTCTTAACCATGATGGTGAGAAGAAGGCGCGAATGAAGCACTTTAACAAGTAGGCATTTATTTAGTCGACTACAATATAATGACCAGTCACTCGCCGAAGCTCAAGAGGCGAAATACAAAGCTGGTTACGATTGATGGTGACGTCATTATGTGCCGACCCAGTGGAAGCAAGGTCCTGCGAACTCAAATCGAGCTTAGTGTAACTGGCCATGCTTCAGGGTTGGGGATCTGGAAAGAGAGCGTTAGAGCGAAGTGGAGGAAGATCAGGACTTGGGGCGTTGCGATTTCTTCCGAGATCGCCCCGTAGTGTTGATTACTCTTCTTACAGGCAGGGAGCTCAGCGATGGTGTGGTTGCCAGTTCAGAGACTTACCCAACCTGTAAGGGTCAAATGCAACTTTTCAGGTCAGAGACTCAATTTGATGATACATAAGAGAACAATTCTGAAATTGTGGGCGAAAGCTAGTTATTTTAGGTACTCCCTCCATTTTGTATATTTTAAAAGAATATACAGTGAAAGAAACTTACTGTCTCAGTTTCAGCTGTGATACTTGTAGCTGATTTCGGGCTAAGGTGAAAAAAATTACTCTGCAGACCACGGTAGTATTAGGGAAAACTTATTAAAGAAACGTTTTTTCTATTTAAAATGAAAGTTTCAGAAACTGGTCAATTTAGCTTTCAAAATTGCTAACAAAATATTACCAGATGCTTAATTAACATGAGGTTTTTAAACTCAGTAAAGAACACCCTCTTTTTGGTTCCAGAGTAGAAAGACCCCAAACTGTCCTATTTTGTTTTGGATTTTTTTTAAGAGTGCCTAAATGTAAAGGGCATAATGGCTGCTTTAAGCCTTTTAGAGATTTTAGATGCTCTGCTTGTCAACACTTATAATTTTTACATTCTATATAAATATGTATAAAGGCTGCACTTTGAAAATTGGATTTTAGTATCAGCAGCAATCCTGTTTTATACCAAAAAACAGAACACTGCCATTCTTTAACACTTTAGGATTGTTGTAACAGTAACTATGAACGATAGAGTTGCTATAAAACTATTAATATCACTATTTTCTTATATAAGGGCCCATTATTGTTATTCCTATTAAGTATCATTGGATGGATCAGAAATGATTATTAGAAACATAATTTCAATACGTAATCTGCATTGTTTGGAATATCTCAAGTGATTTATCATAAATGTTTTAGCAATTTTTAAACTGGAGATTGGGTGATTTATTGTATAAATGAAAATACAATCAGTACCATAATTATAGCATTTGTAACCATAGTGAAGGAAATAAATGCTAAGATCAGAAATATTATTTTTATTTTTAAAGTTAAGCTTTTAACAGTCATCCAGAACAGGGGTCACCAACCTTTTGGACCCCAGGGACTACCAAACTCATAATTTTAAATCCCAGGGACCACTAACTGGTTCTGTGGGTGTGGCCTAATTTGTGGGTGTGGCTTAGTGGTCAGCTGACTGACTGGGCATGGCTTGTATGTAAATATAAATATTTATAAAAATATTAAATTTTTTATTAAAAAGCAACTTTTACCCAAAATCAGGCAAAGCAGGCAGGCAGATTGAGTTTCTCACAGAATCACAGATTCATTCAGAAATCTATCTGCCATTGGCTAGCTTAGTCTGTCATATAAAATTTGCTTGTAATCAAACTCATAAAATTTGCTTGCAAGCAAACTCATAAAATTAACTTACAACACACCATCTATGTAAATATTGAATTTTTTATTGAAAAAGAGTAACTTTTATCCAAAATCAGGCAAAGCAGGCAGGCAGATTGAGTTGCTCACAGAATCATTCAGTGATTTATCTATCTGCCATCTGCTAGCTCAGTCTCTCAAATTTGCTTCCCATGAGTCTGCATTGAATAATAGAACCTTCAGTCCTAAGGGAGATTCTGCTGTGCTTAAAAGCAGAGCCGAAGATCTAAAGACTAGCTAGAAAGCAAGAAATCAATTTCCTGCTTCCTAACTAATCTAAATCTCCCAGCACAGCAGAATACCTGATGGTCAGAAAAAGGAAAAACAGCAATTTAGCAGGCAAGCTTGCCGGATAAGTGAGTGGGTGGGGAAGGTTCCCACGGGCCATATGGGCGGCGTAGCCTTGTGTTTCTGCGCGGCCTGGCCTCCACAGCTTTGGGGGAGTGTTCTGAGAGTGAGATTTCTCTGCGGCCCACCAAAATTTTCTCACGGCCCACCAGTGAACCACAGCCCACCGGTTGACAACTGCTGATCTAGAAAGTTAAATATACAAAATAGGAACAACTATTGATAAACCATGAGTAAAAGAAATTATAGAAATACTTTATAATGACTTCTTCAATTTGTTTTCCCATCTGCTAACCTAAATATTAGTATTTTGCATTGAACATTAAACATTGAAGGTTATTGTTACTATCTAAGTAGTTTTGTTATGTTGTTTTTGCTTAGTTCAATAACTTGTCCTAGAAAGCATAGTGTATTCCAAATATTTAAATTTGCCTTACTGTGTGGGATTTGTAGTGTACAAGAGAACCATTCCTGGAAAGATTTTTATTTTTGATTCTGAACTTTTTGCAAAACCATTCATTTTTGAACATCATATTTACAAATGTGTGTATTTATTGCTGAATGTATACCTCGCTTTTCAGCCTATTCCATCAGTGAAGGTTACTTATATCAGTAAAAATGCAAAGTATTAGACAAACAATTAGGATCAGCCAGTGAAATATATTGAAATCTTATTCTAGAACTTTCATTGCTTTTTCAGATATTCACGTTAATATTATTAGTGCAGAAGTACCTGTGAGTATTGTTGAGTACATGTTTACCTTTAAACCAAAAAGAGATGAGTGGTGTTTGAGAATGGCAAACTTCACTTTGGCTCTATCACAAATTCAAAAGGGAGAACAGTTCAGTTTGATGCTATTCTGCTGTTTCATTTTAGGCTGCAAGTTTTGTTTCTTTCGAAAATTATCCATTCAACCAGTTCAACAAAAGAAGATTCCAAACCGATATCTAGGCCAGCCTAGCCCTTTCACACATCCACATCTTCTTAAGCCAGGTAAGGATAACGGTAATGCAACTCTAAGCACATTTGCTGTAGTGAGAAACAAGTGTCCAGAGACATTAAAATCCCAAACAAGTTTGCATAAAGCTCCACTAGTGACACTTTAACATCCCACGTTTTATAGTTTTCTTAAAGAACAACCTGGAGAAAAAAAGAATTTTATATCCTTCAATGAATTCCTATTTAGAATGTTTTATGTGCCAGCTAGAAAATTCTTCCTAAAATGCTACTCGTGTTCTCTTGGATATATGTATTTGTGATAAAGTATCACAAAAATCAGGGGTCCCCAACCCCCAGTCTGCGGTCCACAAAGCCCCATCTGCTCATGCATGGAATTTAATGCATGAAACCACACACCCCAGATCTGTGGAAAAACCATCCTCCAAGGGTTCAGTCCCTGGCACCTAAAAGGTTGGGGGCTGCTGATATAAATTACCCAATCGCAAGTAATGCTTGCAAAAAATTCTACGTTTGCAACAGCTGGAAAAAGTTACAGCAATTGTTTTCCATCAGAAGAATTGCCTCTTGTCATAAGAACTACTTCCAAAGTTAGAAAACCTTGTTGAGAGGACTTTTTGTCTCATCAGATTTACAGAGGGTGGACATGAGAGACAGAAGCAGATGTGCTGTTTAGATGTGGAAATATTGAGAAACTAAACATTCTTTACTGGCCTTCAGATGGCCTGTAAATATAATTTTTCTTCTATGAAGGTTTTGTTCTTTTTATCAATGTATTTTATTTTAGTTCTGCATTTTGAGTGGTATTTTCTATTTGAACAATCATTTCTTATCGTTTGACAGAATAGCAGATCAAAATCAGTTAGAAATAAATAACTGTAGTTGCTTGATTCACATTTGTGAATAAGACCCAGGATCAATTTCTATTAGAAAACAGAGAAAGCATTCATCAGTGCCTGGATTTTGCATTTTTCTGAACTCAACCTTTCACTGCATATATAGTCTGTTTTATGGCATTATTTGTCATTAGTTTTGTCTCTCTCTCTCCAAACATGTAGCTTGATTTTATGCATGTTTATTGGTAAGCTATTCTTTTAATCAAATTCATTATTAATTTCTTTAATATATTTCTATACAGAATGCCATGTTTTTCATTGATGTGCATTATTTATCTTTTCAACTGTTAATTAAATTTATGCTTCTGTAAAAGCCGATGTGAGTACTGCTAAGTAGCTTTCCTCATTTCAACTCTTTAGAAATTTTTTCTAAGATTTAGTTGTCCTTTGTCTGGTGCAGGGAACCAGAACAATTCCTTGGTTAGGCCAAAGTACTTTCTTTATTATAATTCCTCTATTACAAGTATTTTGCCAGGGTAACTGCATTCTCTTGGAAACTGACAGATCAAGGCTTCAAGAGTCTTGCCTCGGTCGCTTCTTACCACTGAGAGACTCTAAGCTAAACTGTCTCTTTACTCCTTCCTCTACTCTAGCCAGAGATTCCACCACATCTTTAATATTTGAAATGTGCGATTCTCTATTAATATTGATTAGGTAATTATAATGGGATATCAATGCCACTCACATTTTATTTGTATTACAGAAAATTTCAGTAGCTGGCATCTGAGTAGATAATGTGCCCAGCCAGCATTTGTCCTTCTGCACAGTGGAAAATGTCTTATTTTCATCTTGTCTAGTGATGCTGCTGCCCAGCAACTAGTTTAGGTCAGCAAATTGCTTATTGCAAGTAGGTTAATGTTTTTAAATTAAAGTGTGTACTGTGATATAATTTATGGAAGAAAAAAGCAAAACAAAATTTTAATCTAAAAGTATATTCTATATTTTTAAATTTTTGCTTCCTTTTGAAAAGCGTTTGGATAACTTTAAAAAAATGGATAGTTATCAGGTAGCAGTATGTTGCTATTAAAGATAGGAAAGAGCCTGGTATTTAGTGGAACAAATGTCTCTTCCTAAAGCACATGAGAAGTCCTACGACATCAAACCAAAGTTCATCATTTTTCATCAGTTTCCTGCAGTATCAGACAAAGTGCTTTTAGGGAGATCCATGTTTAAGGCATAAAGGCAGAAACCTGTCCCTGCCAATTACTGTAATCAGTATTCGCTATCATATTCCCTATGTATGTACTTCTAATACCCTCACTATTAACCAGCTACTTGTATTACTGATCACTGTTTTAGAAGTTCCACAATCCTCTGCAGTTATTTGGAGGATCATAGTCTAGAACACAGGTCCCTAAACCCCAGGCCACTGTCCACTACTGAGCCTTGAGCTTTTTGGAACTGGGCCGTGGAAGTGTGGGGCAAGCACACACATTCATGCATGTATCCCCACTCATGCAGGCAGCAGGTGAGTGTGAGCGGCATGTGTGCATGTCCACTACCACCTCTCCCTGCCCCTCCGGTCAGAGGTTGGATGTTGCTGGTTCAGAGTGGCCTGAAAACAGGCCAAAAACCAGGTGGGGGCTGGGCCAGCCAGTGATGGGATTAGCCCCAACCAGCTGAATCCAACCTTTGCCTTTGAGGTGAGTGGCCGGGAGGTGGGGCTGGGTGTGATGAGTGATGTCACCCACCCAGTCACATGACCAACTGGCCACACCTACCCAGCCAGAAAACCTATTGTTAAGTTGTTCCAATCCCATCACAGCCTCTGGTTCACAAAGCCAAAAAGGTTGAACTCTGGTCTAGAAAATATTGCCTCTCTTTTTTTTCTCTCTTCTCAATTTTAAAAGATGTTTTTCTAATGGGCAGAATCCGACTTGGGCAGCTAGCCAGAAAAATATAAAGAAAAACATTTAAAAATAGAGGCTACCAATTGTAAGTACATAGTATGTCCAGGTTTTATGCAGATATTTATATTTTTAAATGATAGGGCATATAATAAACCACCTACAGTAGCCCCATGGTGAGATGGGCAACAAATAGATTTATTAATAAAAAATATTCATTATTATGTTAACTAAATCCTTTTGATTCCACTAGAACATTTTGTTAGATTTAATGAAGATTCAGAAAATATAATTCTCACATTTTTTCAGCGTTATCTCTGTTCATTTTAATGGATTGGCTTTAATAGCTTTAATAAATACAAATCTGGATATAGACTATGTAAAGAAAATGTTCCATTTACAATCATTTTTTTGATATTTAGTCCAGTTTGGTTAAAATATTTTTGCTTTCTGGACATTGTATTCATTGTACATAGATTAGATTATAGATAAAATTAGATTGAATGATGAAATCTGAAGTTCTGAGAAAATTCTATATTACGTCTAATCTAATTCTTAGATACATAGCTTATTAAAGATCCTTTGTTAAATTCAGCATTATGAGCTGTGCATTTCATGGAGGAGTTATTGCTAGGTAATGAAATGTCCATATTGCTATCAAAATGCAGAGTACAACAAGCTCTACTGTCCTCTGTTCAATGTGCAAATGGTATATAAAGGTGTTCAAGTTTACTTTTCTTTGTTCCTCTCTCTCCCAATAATCATTTTTAGTCATAATCATTACATTAGTATTAACTGTAGCTTTTGGAATGCCTTATGAACTCAAGTTTCTACAAACAATTTTTGTTATTAATAATAGAGAAAAAATAATTTAGAGTTGAACTAGGAATGTGGAGACATGAGTGCAGAGAAAATGAATAAAAAAGGAAATGAACTGGCAAATGTGAGACTAATATCAAAAAGTTGTAAGCATTTAGCAGCATGAAAAAACTTGTTTCTAAAACAGAAAATGTGTTTTTGAATTCTATTTACAGGAGAGGTAACACCAGGATTATCACAAGTGGAATATGCTCTCCGTAGACACAAGTTGATGGCTCAGATACAGCAAGAGGTGCACGGGACAAATCACACAGTAATTCTGCTTTCAAATCCTACCTATTATATGAGCAATGATATTCCATATACCTTTCACCAGGACACTAATTTCCTATATTTGTGTGGCTTCCAAGAACCAGATAGTATCTTAGTGTTGCAAAGTGTGCCTGGTAGATCTTTGCCATATCACAAAGCTTTACTATTTGTTCCAAAACGAGATCCAAGCCGAGAGTTATGGGATGGGCCACGATCTGGCACGGATGGAGCAATGGCTCTCACTGGTGTAGATGAAGCATATACCATGGAAGAGTTTAGACATCTGGTATCTAAATTAAAAGGTATGAAAACAAAATAGATTTTGCACTGTATGAAATAGGATGATATTGAATCATTTCAACCATTTGCTGTCAAGCAAAGGCATAAAAGAGAGGAGATAGAAAGCTGGATGCATGCACTGCATTACAGGTAGTCCTCAACTTATGGCCAGTTGCTGAATGCCCAAAATACAGTCATGTAATGGGTGGGGTGGGTGTCAGAACTTCAAATCCAAGATGTAAGTACATTTTTGGGGGGGAGTTGGTCATAACTTTGAACAGTTAACCAGTCGTAAGTTGACAACTACCTGTAAGTCTTAGTATGGGTTGGATTCGCCTTAATATTTGAACCCAACAATTGTGATTCATAAAATATGGTTCATGGTAGGCATGTTATGTGAATTGCACATCAATTATTCAGTGACCTATAACTAAGGAAATAATAACTTCATGTGAGAAGTTTAACTCAATTAAAATCTTGCATTCCTAGCTTCATAAATGCCTTTATAGGGAAAAAAAACCCCTCAAAAATAATAATTTCAATAGTAAGGGGAGCAAATTTATTTTTGGATTTTAATGCAAATATTAACATGCAAAGTTCATATTTTCTGAAACTATACGCCACCTGAAAAACAGTATAAAGTGCCCAACTAAATATTATTTGATTGAAAGTTTACATTTCAGAAACACATACAAATGTTTATTTAACATTATTTCTAGGTTCCCCCAATCCCAAACGGCCTTCTAGATCATGGGTATATTTAAGGGCAAAGTTTATAAAAATTATGAATAGAGACAGACAGGCTTTGGAGAGTCTTACTTTGCCCAGTCTGTAGCCACATGATAGCTGTTATGCAATAGTGAAAGTCTCCTAAGTTTGTGGGGCTTATATATATTTGATACTTGTAAATTATACAGAAGAAATGATTACTACAGAACTGTAATTAATTTTATTGGTCTTTTGTTCCAAAGAGAACATTTAAGTTCTTCTTTCACAATTCCTTTCTTTAAGAAATTTTGTAGTAGAGTCATGTATATGTGCAACATATTGAAGGTGGTAAGTAATAGGGTTAGTGCACAAAAGAAAATAGCTGTCCATGCACAAGGCAACAAAAATAATTGAAAATAGCTTCTCAATTAGCTACTTAATTTGGAAACTGTTGCTTTAATCGTGCAAAAGTATATGCTTCCAACTTTTTCAAAGGATTTGCATAGTCCTACTAGGTACTTCATTTAGGGTGCATTCTTAACACACTTAGAGTGTTAAAAACATTACTTCTGTGTCACATGAATGAGAATGTATTCTGAAAAGAAGAAGCTTTGTTAAATTATGGTATAGAGATTCATAATCTATAGCTCCAGAGCCACTGCCATAGCCATGGAAGTGGCTCCAGAGTCCTATCAAAAGATATTGCTAATCTGAAATCTTTAATGCAATGGAAGTGGACAATATTAAATACTATAGGAATAACTAATAGTTTTATTAAGTCAATTGAGAATAACTAATAATTTAATTCAATCAATTTATATTAACTCTAGTTTAAATTATTTTTTATATATTTTATCTCCTCCATTTTTGCAGTGCAATTCTTGGCACTCTGTTCAAAGACCAAGTACAGTTCTTGATCCAAAAGAATTATATATTCTTATTCAAATGTACTTGAAATCTATTTTTGTATATAAAAGATGATGCACTGGGAAAACACATGCCCTCTTTACTCAGTTAATTTAGATCCATATCTTTGTTTCTAAGGTGCTGATCTGTTAGTGGGTTACACTTCATCAATATTTCTTACTACTGATTCCTTTCAGGCAGGTTTAAAAACACTATAAAATAAAAGTAACATCTCTTATTAAGGATTCCAGTATTGATTTGAATAGTTATCCAAATTTGGCTGCAATCTGACATTTACCAAAAATACGCAAACATCTCTCCAAAGAAGAGCATAGTTAATTAAACTTAAAGTGTAACTATATTCTGTTTCACAGATGATTCTAGCACAGTTTGGTATGATGTTGCTAAACCTGTGCATCCCCAGCTCCATTCTGATTATCTTCTGCATCTGGCTGAGGTAAAAGCTAAATACAACAACCGTGTTCGAGCTGTCCGGCATCTAGTGCAAAACTTACGGCTGATCAAATCTGCCACAGAGATTGAGAGGATGAAATTTGCTGCCAAAATCACTTCACAGGTATCGATCAAAGCATTTATGTTGCACAAGGTGTTAAGAAACAAAAAAGGCATGATATTGGAATTCATGCCAAAAGGAAAATGACACGTAGATATAGCTGGCATCTTTCTACTAGGATGTTTCTGTAACTAATGCTGATTATTTATTCCAGAAATAAAATATGGGGTCCTTCTCCTTGTGTTTATGGAAAGCCTTCTGTCAACAAGTACCACTGTAGTTCCTTATGTTTCACATAATAAGATTATAATCATAGAAGTTAGTGTGACAAATACCAGTGAGGAAGAAATCAAACATACCTGAACACTTTCCATAATACATCATAATCTAAAGTGTACATTTACAGCAGTGATCCAATTTATATTGCATCCCAATATGGTACATTCACCTCCTCAACCAGCTCTTCCTCACTGGTTAGAAATCAGATTAGGAGACCTGATCCTCTTGTCTCATCTTTTGGAAAATATAATGATATTTTGGAAACTTAACATATTAATTAGTAGTTTTTATTACTGCATTTCAACAGGCATTCATAGAGACTATGTTTACAAGTAAAGCACCAGTGGATGAAGCATTTCTATATGCTAAGGTATGTGCTTTTTTTGCATTGTGGAAAAGAGTCCTTCACTATAACCTGACAGCCAGTTTTTAGGTTATATTCACATGTGATGTGTATGCTGACATAACATGTGATAGGTTTCTATTAATCCTCATATGCTTAATTTAGAACTATTAACAAAAAATTATTACTAAAGGAGAACATCAAGAGAGACACCAGGATTTTAATAAAGTGTAGAAAGGATTTATTAACAAATTGCCTCAGTACTTACAGATGGTAAATCCCATTGAACTTGATAAGATATGCTTTTGAATAGATTTGTGTAGGGGACTACTGATAGCCTTTCATCTGAACGATGAGAGAATTTTGCTCTTCAGCACTTCTTGAACATTATCTTTCCTTAAGAATACCTGTTATAAAAATGAAATATCAAGGGAAAAATAGTGCAAATGCAAAGTGTTAATGTATTTGCACATTTTAATTTAGAGGTATTTTCCCTATAAACATTCTCTTATACATATATAGTATCTAAAAATATATTTTGGTTCTAATTAACAGTTGAGAGAACCAACAGCCACCCCCTCAAACCTAATGACAATGTAAGAATAAGTACAGATTAAAGTCTCTTCCTTTTCAAAGGAACAAAATTGAGTAGGAAATACAGCCTACAAAAAAAAATAATGTGGTTAGTACCTCCTAGTGTTTCATGTTGTTTTCATTTAGTAAAAGAAATCCTTGCCTGGTTTGCTGCTCCTAAGAAACCAATTTTTGTCTATGGATATGCACCCAGATCAAGATAAATATAGGTACAGGGAGAAAGATTGGGCATAGATAGAAGCACGCAAGAAAAATTACCTTTGATTTTGCTGTTTCAAAACAATCACCAAGTTCTTGAGAGTTTTTTCCTGAAAAAAATAGACATGTTATACTTTTTGCTTCGCATAGCGTACTAGGTTTCTGTATTCACATTCTGTAGAAGAGAAGAGAAATGTATGGCTTTTCAGATGGTACTGAACAACAAAATTCCTCTCCGCTAATTCCAATAACTGAAGCTGTTAGGTATTTTACTTAAGCAGTAGCTTGCTCTGTGAGTTGATGTATATATTTCCTTCAAGGAGCTAAAAATACCTTTTATGTGGTTGATCATTTTTTTGTCCTCACAGCAAACTATGATACAGATCCATTAAGTCCTTACTCACCAACTGTAATTGGGACCATAATTTCTATTGCTAAGTGATACAGTTGTAAAGCACAATGACAGATGACTTTGCTGCTTAACAATGGAAATTGTGGCATTTTCAGTTGTTGGTAAGTGAATCATCGCAAGTCATTAAAAAAGGATGTCATGTAGTCCCCTTTTGTGAACTCCAGCTTTCCCATTGACTTTGTTTGTAGGAAGTTGGCAAAGAAGGATGTAAATGGTGATTATGTGCCTGCGGTGATACTGCAATTGTTATAAGTATGGTCATAAGTACCATTCATTCCTGCACTGTTGTAAGTTTGAACAATCATGAATGATTGTTAAGCGAGGACCACCTTCCTATTCAAACATACAGTGTATCCCATATATTTTGCTACTTTGCTAGCTCAAGTATGGGCATTGGCAGAACCTTTGTGAGAAAGGGCTTGGATAAAAGCTGTGCATTTATTTCAACAATTAATGGATTATTTTATTTCCAGTTTGAATTTGAGTGCCGGGCTCGTGGTGCTGATATTTTAGCTTATCCCCCTGTGGTTGCCGGTGGCAACAGGTCCAATACCTTGCATTATGTGAAAAACAATCAACTTATCAAGGTAACTGAATGAACGCTGCAATATAATAGCATTATTATCTACTGAACCTCTCCAAAAGAAATAAATCAAGATACACTGCCGTAATATATTAACTAAGCCATTTAAGAAGATTGGAATGAAACTACAGTTTTAAGAGAGGATATAATCCTGTTTCTGAGTACCTTCTTAAACTGAGTAGACCATAACCAGTTCTACTGCATTCTAGTGTGTTTCTGACTGTCCTATATTTCTAGAGGAAAAAATCTACTTCCTCATTCTATGGAGTAGAACAAAGAAATTTAGGAATATTCTTACGGTGTATTGCATATGAATCTTTTAATGAGGAAATATGGGGATTTGTTTAAAGAGTATAAAAGCAATCTACCTCTGAACAGGCATGGCCCCCAATAATATCTGCCACTACTCATATGAATTGGTTGATTTGTTTCATGAGAAAAATGAATTTTTTCAGGCAGCCTTCTCTTCGCCTCCTTCCCCACCAATGTGCTTGATGAATATGACCAGTATTGGCCAATAAAAGTGGGTGCAATTAAAAGATAGTACTTAAATGAAAGTAAATGAGATTTAACACAGCAATAGCTTTTAAGTTAGATCAACTTTCTCATTTTGGCACCTTGTGCTGGACTGACAGTTATTGGATTACAGAAGATAATAATAATAGTAATAGTAATAATAATAATAATTTGTCACCTCTTCTGTTCATCATCGCCATGACCCCCCATCCACAATTTTACAGAAAACTAACCTGGGTTATCAAATTGCTAAAAATTCACAAAAAATCTCTCACCCGCTGTACATGGATGATTTGAAGTTATATGGAAAATCAGAAATTGAAATCACAGTTAATGACCAATACAGTTCGAATTTTCAGCACTGACACCAGCATGGAGTTCGGCCTGGACAAATGCTCCACAATGGCACTGAAGAAAAGAAAAATCGTAGAAAGTGATGGAATCAAAATGCCCAATGGACAAACCATCAAGTGCCGCCAACCTGAAGCCTACAAATACCTGGGCATACTGCAGCTGGACAATGTCAAGCATGGGCAAGTGAAAAATGTGGTCAGCAAAGAATACACACAGAGGGTCAGAAAATTCTAAAAAGCAAACTGAATTATGGTAACACCATCAAAGCTATAAATACCTGTGCCATACCAGTCATCAGATATACTGCTGGGATCGTAAACTGGGCACAGGCAGAGCTGGACAGCCTAGATAGGAAAATGAGAAAACCAATGACCATACACTATGCGCTACACCCGCGTAGTGATGTTGACAGGCTATATTTGTGCAGAAAAGCAGGCGGCAGAGGACTTTTGCAAGTGAAGCAGACAGTTGAAGAAGAGAAAAATGCTCTGGCAGATTATGTGAAAGACAGTGTTGAACCAGCTTTGATGGAGGTCAACAATAAGCTGCTCAAAGTGCAGCAAACCAAGAATCAATACAGGAAACCAGCGATGCAAACTCGGGCTGACATCTGGTGTAACAAAGCACTGTATGGACAGTTCATTAAAAAGATCCAAGGAAAAGTAGATAAGAAAAAGACATGGTTATGGCTTACCAACAAAACACTGAAGAAAGAGACAGAAGGCCTGATTCTTGCAGCCCAAGAACAAGTCATCAGAACGAATGCATTCAAAGCCAGAATAGAAAAATGAACTGATGACTCCAAATGCAAAGAAGGAGGCGAAACCATTGATCGCATACTGAACCGTTGCAAGAAAATTGCTCAGACTTACTACAAACAACATCACAACACAGTCACTCAGATGGTCCACTGGAACTTGTGTCACAACTACCATCTGCCTGTAGCAAAGAACTGGTGGGATCATAAGCCTGAAAAAGTGGTCAAAAATGAGCATGCAAAACTACAGTGGGACATCCGAATACAGACTGACAAAGTTTTTGAACACAATACCCCGGATATCATGATTGTGGAGAAGAAAAATGTGTGGATCATTGACATTGTCATACCTGGTGACAGCAGAATCAACAAGAAACAACTTGAAAAAATCACCAGATATCAAGACTTGAAAATTGAACTGCAGAGACTCTGGCATAAACCAGTGCAGGTGGTTCCAGTCGTATTTGGCACACTGGGTGCTGTGCCAAAGACCTAGGCAAGCACTTAAAAACAATTGGCACTGACAAAATCACATATGATGACCCAGGGTGGGATACAAAAGCAACAAAGTCACAAAAACAAGTGAAATCCCTTTAATTCCTTCAACTTGGCTTCAGTTCAATTATCAATGACTGGAGAAAAAACTCCCCACAAACAGTTGCGAAAAGGAAGAACTTCCATTCAAACTCAAAATACATATAAATTATAAACAGGAAAAAACAACACAAACCACACTGAAGCAATTAATGAGACAAGGCAGGATAAGGGCTTGAAGACATACACAGATATCAAAATACACACACTGGGAAGGAAACCAGAACTCCGATAAGAACTGACAAACTAGAAATATTTTCATGCTTTGCTTCCAGCATTGGCCCATGTGCAGTTTGTCCTTTTAAACAGTCCTCACAGCTGCAGCCCATGAAGGCAATCAAGGCTCTTTCCTCCCCCGTAGACCACTCCATTCACATTTCTCCCTTGTCCGCTCCACCCTGTGTGCCCTAGGATGAAGAGGGGATGGGCCTGGGTCTTCCTCTGAAAGCCCAGCTGGCCTGTGCTGTTCCCCATTTTCCTCCACAACCTCCGGACCCACACTCCCACTCTCTGTCAGCTGTTCCTTCTCTCCCTCAGATTCTAACGGGCATGATATCACCATTGGTCAGCTGTAGAAGGCCACCTTACTGGGATCTGCTCGCATAATTCGCCGATACATCACGCAGTCCTAATGATTTGTGATACGAAACCCAGCATAGTTATCTCGTTTGCTGTGTACACTGTCATTTTTGATGATGATGATGATGATGATGATGATGATAATAATAATAATAATAATAATAATAATAATAATAATAATAATAAT